GGCTGAGCGCGGTGCAGGCGCAACACCGAGGGTTGCGATCCCGTTACCGGTCACGAAAAAAAGACAAAAAAAAAAAAAAAGATAAAAATGCTTAAAATGGCAATTCTTATATGTTTTATCATAATAAAAAATTAGAGCAAGACTGGGCAGGGTCCAATCTCAGAAGACTTAACCATATCAGGGAGCTTAAATCTGTATCTTTTTTTTTTTTTGGTGGCTGGTACAAGGATCCGAACCCTTAGGTCTTGGTGTTACAAGATCATGCTCTAAACAACTGAGCTAACCAACCAGCCCAAATTTGTTTTTGTTTTTTTTTTTTTTTTAAAGATGACCGGTAAGGGGATCTTAACCCTTGACTTGGTGTTGTCAGCACCACGCTCAGCCAGTGAGTGAACCGGCCATCCCTATATGGCATCCGAACCCAGAGCCTTGGCGTTATCATCACCGCACTCTCCCGAGTGAGCCACGGGCCGGCCCCCAAATTTGTATTTTAATATAATCTAGCCACTTTCCTGAGTGTGAATTTCAGGTAAGGACAAGAATGTGGGCAGTGAAACTGTTGAAATGGGCCAGGTGAGAGATGAGGAGGGTGAGTCAGGGCTGTGATGGAGGTGACAGAGGCAAGAGATAATTAGGACATGAAATTGGCAGAAACTGATGATCAACTGGGATGAGAGAGACGTAGGCTTTCATAGTCGGTGGTGCCAGCAAGCAAGATGGAAAATACAGAAAAAACTTACTGTTTGGAGTAGGTGGGGAACTGAGTGCAGAATGGAAAATGGATGTGTTCAGCTTTTGACATGTTGAGCGGAAGGTGCCCATGGGACATTCAAATGGAGATGCCTAGTTGGAAGTTCTGGGAAAGGAGCTGAGCTAAGATGTAGAAGTCATCAGCATAAGAGTGGGAACTAAATGGGTAAATGTGTGAAATTGCCCAAGATGAGTGAGCAGAGCGCAAAGAAAAACAAGCTAGTGCCACAATGAAATATCAACATTTAAGAGAGCAGATGGAGGAAGAGAAGTCCAAGCATACTTTAGTTGAACACTAAAAGCAGAACAACATGGTGATTATGTTGTCCTTCCATGGTGGAATTATTGATTCTAAGAATCGCTGCTCTTGATAGTTGTACTTTAAAAGATCATTTAGGGGCCAGCCCATGCTCACTTGGGAGAGTGTGTTACTGATAACACCAAGGCCACAGGTTCGAATCCCTATATAGGGATGGCTGGTTCGCTCACTTAGGACAGTGTGGTGCTGACAACACCAAGTCAAGGGTTAAGATCCCCTTACCGGTCATCTTTAAAAAAATTAAAATTAAAATTAAAATCACTTAAATCTACTGTTTTGCAAATATCTCTTGACCAGAAAACTAAATTCTACCTAGCACTATTATCAGTCAAACTCAACTCAAAGATCTGATTTCTGCCCTCTCAAGTCCTACAGACAAATCTTCAAAGTTTGAAGGCAGCTGAAGTGACCCAAGTCAGCTCTCTCTTTGACTGAACATACCCAATTCCTTCACCATTTCCTCATATGACAATTTTCAGCCTTCATCTCTAGCCATCTTTTCCTGGGCACACTGCAAGTTGTCAATTCATCCAGAAGCATATCAAGCTATCCTCTGGCAGTATTCTAACTCAAGCACAGTACACTAGAAGTATTACCTTTCTTATCTTGGAGACTACCTTTCTATTAATGCAGCCTAAAATTAAATTAAGTTTACGAGCAGCCACATTATACTATTTGCTGCTTGAATACATTGCTGACTGAAGTACACTGCCCCTTCCAACATAGACATGTGCCAACTCTTCTCCCCCCGCTGACCACTCTCTGTACTTCTACAGTTTTTTGTTTAAAGCAGCCACATTATACTATTTGCTGCTTGAATACATTGCTGACTGAAGTGCACTGCCCCTTCCAACATGGACATGTGCCAACTCTTCTCCCCCCGCTGACCACTCTCTGTACTTCTACAGTTTTTTGTTTAGTCTAGTTGTAGGTTTCATATTTCTGCTCATTTTTATTTTATTCATATGAAAAACTTTCTTCCTGTCCTTTTCGTCATGGAGCACAAGATGGTCAGGACACCTGATAATAGAAAAAAAATCATAAACATGTAGCAACCATCATCATCAACCAGGGTGAATGTTAAGAATGGACCATATGGAATCCCAAAACTATAGGGAATGTTTTGATCCAGCTATAGGCTTTTGGTTCTATCCTCAACTGCAGGTTTAATAAGGAAATGGATTAAAGGTGGGGCATACAGGCATATGGCAGCCACTGTCTGATTGGTTAATTCTATTTTTCTCTAATTGCCTGTTTATTGATTAGAACTGTTTTTTCATTCTCTTCTGAAATCTCTACAAGATTAAAAGTTCATGTTCCTTCAAGGCCCACAGGACAGAGTCTAAGTCAACCCTGAAAGATTGTCTCAGGCAAACACGAAATAAATGGAAAAATTCTCACGTAGGAAAGATGTGGCATAGAAGTCAACCTCAGATAGGTAGCACTACCATATGACACCTCCACCTGAAGGCTGAGGACAGGAACCCATAAAGGAGGCCATCTGTTCAGTTCTGGACTTTTCTTCCTCAAAGAGGAGGGATTGCCAAGAGTCCGCTCCTTATGAAGCCAAGATATTTGATTGGTTATACTGTAGTTCCCATATCCTTGAGCATCTTCCTATTTGTGTCCCATTAATGGACAGGGGCTTACCGTTCAAGTGCATTTGCTGGAGCCACACTGCTTGGGTTTGGATCCCAGCTCTACCATTTATTGGGCCTTGTGGCCTTCAGGAAAGTTAACCTGTCTGTAAAATGAAGTTAGTAAAAGGCATAGGCTGGCCTGTGGCTCACTTGGGAGAGCGTGGTGCTGACACCAACAAGTCAAGGAAGGGTTAAGATCCCCTTACCAGTCATCTTCTAAATAAATAAATGAATAAATAAATAAAGTATACATCGCAGAGTTAAGGAAAAACATTTTTGTGGCTGGCCAGTACAGGGATCCAAACCCTTGACCCTGGTGTGATTGGCACCATGCTCTAACAAAGAGAGTTATAAACATGTTAACACATGTAAATGACTTAGAACAGTGCCAAGTATATATGCATTTAACAAGTGTTAGGTGTTATTTCTTTAGTGTTCATTGGCCTGAAATCAGTTCTGATACAGGTATCGGTTCTCTACTGCTAGTTTGGCCTCCCAGCATGGATCAGGACTGAGTGAGTTGTTAGCATGTAGGTGGGTGAAGACTTCTTAAAGACAGTGTTAAGGTTATAGGCAACATGGTAGAAAACAATTGTATGGTGCCACATTTCTATTGATTGGGAAGACAAGGCAATTTCCTCCTGCACATTTTATTCACACATGCTAAATCTCATTAAACATACAGCACTGTCAGGGAGGATGGCCAAGGGGAAGTTAATGTTGTCAGGGTAATCCTTACTTCTGGCCTTGCGTTGCACGAAGGCAAAAGACAGGCAGGAGCAAGATTGGGGTGAAGGGGATAAAGGTGAGGAGGGGCAAGCACAGAGTGTGGAGGCAGCCCGCAGTGAGGCAGGCAGGCAGGCAGGCAGCAGCAGTTCTAGCCAATCAACACTTTATTTTTCCAGTCACCACCTGCACAGATGTTATGTCCACTTTCTGAACCTAGTAGAGGGTCCCACTGCACTTGGACCACCTGGGGCCCACAGGAGCAGGTTTCTTTCTTCCCCCTACGACTGTAAGGAAGCTTTTCATCTCAACAAGACAGAGGACATACTTACCAACCCCAAGGCTGGCACCTATGCTGTGGGATCCCTGCTTTCTTCCCGCACCATGAAAAGCCAGGCTGAATTAGGGCAAGGGTGCAGTGGAGGTTACACAGGCTACTGTGACCTAAGTGTGTCACTAGTGGCCTGACCCACCCTCTCAATTTACTCTTTACCTCTCAGACCAGGAGCCTCCCTAAAGCTTAGCCAGTTCCTGCTGGGCAGGAGGAGTTGACAAAGGGTGGGGATTGAGCTACTAAAGACAGGAAACAGCAGAGAAATAAAGCAGAGAGTACAGGACAGGAGAGGAAAATTATAAAGTGCCTGAACTAAACAACCAAGTGGGATATGAGGGCAGAGCAGCACAGGTCCCTGAGGATAGGAGGAAAAAGGGCTAGACCACCAGAGCTTGGGGCATAGTGGAATGAGAATAGGGATGAGGCAGGGAGGCAAGTGTAGGCTGTAGGAAGGACTTCCTTAGCCCTCTTCACATCCACTAACCCAAGTTGAAAATTATTTACAAACTTAAAACCAGTCCTAGGAACAGGTGCTGCACCCGGCCTGGGACAGCAGGCAGGCAGGCAGGCAGGCAGGCAGGCAGGCAGAGGTGGACTGGCTACCATCTGACAGCCAGCTTCCCTACACACTGTGCCTTCCCATAGTAGTAGGGAAAGGGGGAAACAGCAACACCCCTAGCCAGGAAGCCCTACTGTGCCTGCAGCTCCTTCCCCCATGGCTCATGGCTCTGCCATGGCCTGAGCCTCTTGGTCTGACTGTACCAGAGAATAGGTGTCGGACACCAGGAGTGGAGGTGGTGGTGCATCAGGGGGCTTTGGGGGTGTCTCTGGCTCCAAGCCAAGCTCTGCATTCAGCTGCTCCAGCTCCCCCTGATCCACCAACTCAAAGTCCTCAGTGGTGAGTGCCTCTTCTTCCTCAGGGGCAGGCAGGGGCTGGGGTGAGTCCTGGGGAAGAGGTGGGAGCACGGAGGGGAAGGGGACTGGGTCACTTTCAGCAAGGCAAAGTGGGGGTGACAGGGTGCTGGGCGGAGCAGTGAGGTCACCACTCACTGCCTCTAGGCTCAGCATCTCCATTGGTCTTCCAGGGGAGCACTTCACTCCATCTGGGGGGGATCCTGCCCCATTGAAGTGTGTGTTCACAAAGTGAAGGGGGGATGAGAGCCGAAGCAAGGTTTCCTTGGCTGCCATGTCTTCCTCTTCCTCCAAGTCCAGAGCTTGCCTTGAGAGGGCCTGAGGGGGACCCAGCAGGTCTTCAGGAGGGGCCAACTCTGCCTCCTCTCCCTCCCCCAGCTCCCGGCTCAGGGCCTCCTCCGGCTCACTAGGCAGGCTTTGCTGGTCCAAATCTGTGCAGAAAACAAAAAGTTAGGAATGGGCCTACTGCTGTGATGGGCCACAACAGTCAATCAGTTCAGTTATGATAACTAAAGACATGGAACTTTGAGCCAGGCTTTAGGCGTCAAGGTCTCCCAGGAGCTTAGAGTAGAATTACAGGATCAGTTCCCCACAGAAAACGTTTATGGGGGGCCAGAAAGCACAACCAGCATCCCACAACAGGGAACAGGAAGATCAGGAGAGGCAAAGGGCTCCCCATACCCTCAGAGACATCAGTCAGTTGCGGAGTTGTAGCCCGGGATACAGAAAAGCCTCCACTCTCCAAGATAGAAGCCTCTTCATCTGAAAGCTCTGAGTCTGTAATGGCCAAGGCCAGTGCTGTTTTCTTCACATCCACCTGCAGGAGAACCAGGATGAATAACAGGTGAGGAGATAAGAAAACAAATCTTCCAGGAGCACCCCCCCCCACCAAAAAAAAAAACCCTCTGGCTCCCACCCACTTGAGAAAAGGCAGATCTTTTTTTTTTTTTTTTTTTTAAAAGATGACCGGTAAGGGGATCTTAACCCTTGACTTGGTGTTGTCAGCACCACGCTCAGCCAGTGAGCGAACCAGCCATCCCTATGTGGGATCCGAACCCGGGGCCTTGGTGTTATCAGCACCGCACTCTACCGAGTGAGCCACGGGCCGGCCCAAGAAATGGCAGATCTAAAGCAAACAGATTCTCCCCCAGCCTTCTATTTGACATCCCCACCTCTCCTGGACCTCACCACTGGGGAGAAGCCAGCCAGCTCTGCCTCGCTTTCACTCTCTGTCTCTGCTAATGGCTCATCACCTCCTGGGGGTGCACTCTTCCCTTGCCGCTCTAGAGAAACAAGAGCAACAGAACAGTGACCAACAGGGACAACGATATGGGACAGACATGACCAAAGAACTGGAGATCTAAATTCCAGGGCATTTCACAAACCATAAGCCAAGGCCCTCCTTGGCATTTTCCCCCTCCTGGGTTAAGGAAGCCACTTACTCCTCTTGTCGTGTTTGTGATGCAGGGCATCAGCTTCTGCCTTCATGCTGTAGTCCAGCTGCATGAGCAGGGGCTCAAGGCGTGTGTACATCCTCTGGATCAGCTCATGATAAACCACCAGGGGCCACAGCAGGATACTCAGCACTATAGGTTAGAAAGCCCACTGAGAGCTCCCTATGCCATTTCCTGAGGGCTCTTATTCAACTAGTCCCTAAATAGGAAGGGCTGAAGGCAAACGAAGTTGTTTCCCAAGGCTGTGCCAACCTGTTCCCTCCACATCCACTGCCCTCCTCCCAGGATGACTCTTCCACTGTTACTAACACTACAGCATTCCTGGAAACCACTACAAATCGACTTTCACTCTCTGTCTCTGCTAATGGCTCATCACCTCCTGGGGGTGCGCTCTTCCCTTGCCGCTCTAGAGAAACAAGAGCAACAGAACAGTGACCAACAGGGACAACGATATGGGACAGACATGACCAAAGAACTGGAGATCTAAATTCCAGGGCATTTCACAAACCATAAGCCAAGGCCCTCCTTGGCATTTTCACCCTCCTGGGTTAAGGAAGCCACTTACTCCTCTTGTCGTGTTTGTGATGCAGGGCATCAGCTTCTGCCTTCATGCTGTAGTCCAGCTGCATGAGCAGGGGCTCAAGGCGTGTGTACATCCTCTGGATCAGCTCATGATAAACCACCAGGGGCCACAGCAGGATACTCAGCACTATAGGTTAGAAAGCCCACTGAGAGCTCCCTATGCCATTTCCTGAGGGCTCTTATTCAACTAGTCCCTAAATAGGAAGGGCTGAAGGCAAACGAAGTTGTTTCCCAAGGCTGTGCCAACCTGTTCCCTCCACATCCACTGCCCTCCTCCCAGGATGACTCTTCCACTGTTACTAACACTACAGCATTCCTGGAAACCACTACAAATCGGTAACTGAGTGAGAGCACTGTCTTCCCTCTGAGTCAGTCCAAGAAAAGAGAAAAAGGAGAGGGCTTTGGGAAGGGAAGGACTAAACCCTACTCACGGACTATGTAGGAAATCATAATTCCTGGAACATAGTGTCCCAGCACCGCCAGCACAGCACAGCCAGAACACACTCGAGCACAGAACTGCAAAGGAGAGCACAGAGTCTAAGAAGAACAGTGGGCTGAGATATTCCCGCTCATCTGGGTAAGAAACTACTGCTCAGCCGATGGAAGGAAAATATGTGCAGTAGGAATGCGATGATCCAGTCTAGGCAAGTAGTGCCCAAAACCACCAACTCAGGAGATTTGCAGGAGACACTATCAAACACTGTTCTGCCTTGGCAGGAGACAGTGACAGAACATCAGGAGCTTATTCCCTGAAGAGAGGCCTGCTTCTTGTATCAGGGACTAGCTGTCAATGTTGCCTCAAGAAAGCACCCAGGCCTCTTTCTTTAGGGTCTCCAACCAGGGAGTTCACATCACTCCTTCCCCCCATCTTTCCACTGCTACTCCCCTATGGGGCAGGGAACTATTATATCACATAGGAGAGGTTACCTGAGCTGGATTCTGCCTCTTGTACTGCAGCAGTTCCTGCAGGTGGATCTGGAAGGTGAGCCAGCTCTCAGCCAGGTATCTGCACAACTCAGGCACACTGAGCAGGTGCGGCCGGGCGCCTGACCCTGCGCCCTCACTGGGGAGACATGACATTATCTCTGGAGGCCTCAGACACCACCTTCCTAGGCAATCAAATCCCTCTGAGAATGCCAATAAGATCTTTAGCCTAAGGAAGCAGACAACCCCACCTCCCAAAAGGAGGCTATCCTGGGAAGTGAACTCCAGAGCACCCAACCCTTTGCCCCAAAAGGAGCAGGCACACAAACACCTATACAGGAGCCTAGGACCAAGCAAACTCCATGGATTGCTACCAGTCCATTCACTTTGCTGGGGCCTGTGCCTGCAGAAGCTGTAGCACTGCCCTGCTCCATTGTGACATCGGCACCAGCAAACAAGACAGGATTTGGGCATTTATCTTCAAGAGATGGCCTGCACTCACCTGTCAGAGTGTGGCTCCTCTGGGGATGATGCTATAGATAGAAGAGGAGGACAAATTATTGAGTGGTAGGGGCCCAGGAAGATACTCCCCAAGGCAGAAATAGTTGCCCTTTCTCTGCAGTGCTAGAGCACTTTCTTCTGTACCAATGGCAAGAAGTATTACACGCTATTGTTTATGTCTTTCTTTAACCTTTAACCTTTTCAAACACAGAAACATCTCATTCATATTTATATCCCAAACAACTCACACACAGCCTGGAAACCAGGTACTCCAAAATGTTTAGTAAGTAATATAGATAAGAAAAGCAACAACGCACTAATAATTACGCACCTTCTATCATCCAAGAACTACCATGAGTGTGTTAACATGCATTAACTCATTTAACCCTCACATCCCTATGAAGTAAATTCTATCGTGTCTGTTTCACAGATAAGGAAACTGAAATAGAGATTGAGCGACTTTCACGAGGTCACATACATGGTAAGTAAGAGAGTAGGGAACCAGGCATCACGTGACCGCGGAGGGACGAGCCCATCACGTGACGGGGCCTAACCGCTGGGAAGCGGCTCCCGCATGCGCGCAGGAGGCTGCCGGTGACCCTGCGCCTACGTAGGTGCTGTTTGTGGCTACCGAAGTCGCTGCGCGGGGTCGGGGTCTGGCTCTAGGCGGTTCTTCCTGTTTTCTTCTCGTATCCCCGATGTGATCCCTACTGGAGGAGCAGGAAGTGGGCTCCCAGACGCCCAGTGTCCTCGGCAGGATCTGCTCGGGAAGAGCGGCGGCCGTCCCATTACTCAGCCCTCGACGCACTGGTCCGGCCAGTTCACTCCCCTCAGCGGGTCAACAAACACCAGCGCGTGACTCGACAGACACGAAAACAACTGAAACTTACTCAGAAAAGTTGTTCCTTCCACATTTCCTTCTGTAAACTTTTTCCGCGCGTAGAAAGAAGCTCCTTCCTCCCCAGCCCTCGAGCGTAAGATTGGGGGCGGGAGGTGAGCTTAAAAATAAAATCTTGTTTAGATGCTGCTTGCTTTTGGGGATACGTGTTAACACCATTTTCTGAGGCATTGAATTCCCTTGAGATAATTTGATTTCGGTAGTAACCCTACAAAATACGTATATAATTAGGTTTAAAGTTTCGAACTCTAGTAAAAGATTTACAGCGAAAAGTAAGGTTCCACCTTGTCCGCGGTTCGCTCAGCGGTAAGTTTCTTGTGTCCTGCTATGTACATTGCACCGTGTGTACCTTCCTTTCTAAAGAAACCACTGGGAGCAACTCGCTATTCTGCGTCTCGTCTTATTCATGTTAGCAACGGCCTGGCTCGTTCCTTCTCAGGGCGGCGTGGTTCCCTGGGAACTGTCTCCATTTCTCAAACGAGGGTCCCTGGGGCTCAGCTCAGCTCTGTGACTTGGCCGGGCTCAGAGGGACCCGGAGGTCGGGGCGGGAGGCTGGGCGGAGCAGGAGGCAGGAAGTGCCAGGGGCTGACTCGCCCGCGACACCCCCGCGGCTTGTAAACGCGGGGCAGACGCGGACCTGGCAGAATACACGCCTCGAAGCCGGCTCTCCACTGTCCGCGCGGTGAGCCCCGCGCCCGACGCCAGCGCCCGGGACCTCTACCCCGCGCCGCGCCCGGAGCGGAACAGGAAGAGGCGCCCGCCTGCCGGGCCCCGCCTGCCGCCGCCGGCGCGAGGGGAGGGGGCTGCGAGGGCGAGGGCGGTGGCCCGCATCGGCAGGTGGACAGGCGAACGGGGACCACTCGGGGCCCCCTTACAACTCCTTCTGTCCCTTTCCCCTTCGCAGGGCGGCGACTGGCGGCACGATGGACCTGGCTGGGCTCCTACTGGACGAAGAAGGCGCCTTCTCCCTCACCGGCTTCCAGGACTTCACGGTGAGCGCGCGGCCTGCCCTTTCCTCCCCAGTCTCCCGGCGCGTGGAGGCAGGACCCTCACCTCCGGGTCCGAGTGGGGCCGTGAGCTCGCCTGACTGCCATGCCCGGGACTGGGCGGCTTGCGCTCGAGCAATGCTTACTGGAGGCCCGGGCCGCTTGGGCCCTGAGGAAGAGCCGTAGGAATGGGGCAGGAGTGGCCAGACCCGGGGCTCTCTCGGAGAGACTCTCCTGGAGAGCCCTCGGTGGGGGTGGGGAGTATTCCTCGCCCTGGGGACCAGGCTGCCACTGGCACACAATTCAGGGAACGCGGGACTGGGTCGGGCACGGGCCCCACTGGCAGTGAGGCGGGCCTGCCGCTCTGCCCCGCCTTCAAGTCTGGAGCCAGAATCTCCATCATACCCTTCCCTGCCCTTCACCCTCCTCCATCCCCCTGTTTCAGTTCCTCCCGGGACACCAGAAGCTGAGTGCCCGGATCCGAAAGAGACTCTACTATGGCTGGGACTGGGAAGCCGACTGTAGCCTGGAGGAGCTTTCCAGCCCTGTGGCAGGTTAGGCAGTGTTGAGTGATCAGGCAAGTGAGCAGCATTAAAATGGGGTTGTCAGCAGTCACCAAAATGACTTAAGGTTTACTCCGTGAGCTGCATTGTCTCTTCGTAGTTAGTTCGTTGGTACTTGGTTCAGGAACGCAGATTACGTTTCACTTTATTTCAGTCCAAGTGAGTAAAAAACGATGGTATCTCATAAATCTAAATCACTCTCGATTTGTCTACCAGAAATTTAATTTTCCAAGGATATCCATGCATATTTTTCAGATGAACAGTGAAAGACAAATCTGGATAATTTCAAGTGACAGGGAAGTAAGCCTTCCTGCTGGAAGAAGCTAAAATTCAAACTTGGGATAGGCTTTTTGTCTCAGCGTGGGAGAATTTGATCTCTAGTTTGTTACTATGGTCCTGTCTCCAAGGCCTCAGATAATGTAGATCTGGGTCTGCTGCTGATAGCAGTGGGGATTGGTGGGGGGGGGG